TAAAGTTTACTTAAAAAAAAAAAGAATGTCTAAATTATTCAAGAAGCTGTACAATAAGGAGTAAAAACCATGATATGAGTCAGGATTGTGCCACTATTATTAAAAAGAGGACAACTTCATTATGATGTTAGATGGTATTAAGAAGAAGATGACATTCCTCTCCCTGAATGTCCTTCCTCCCTAACCATCCAGACCCCATAATCTTTGAAGGCCCACTCACGAGGCCATCTGGTTCCCCAGAGCTGAATTTAATCTCACCTCCCTTGAATGCCCAAAGCACTTCACACTTGAACTGTGGCTCTTTATATACTTGCCTCATTTCCTTAAGGACTATAAGCTCTTTGAGGACAGACTCTATGACTAATTCATTTTTGTATCACTCAATATCATACTAATGACCCTCAGTAAGTATTTAGTGAATGAACTGGAACAGAATTCTCCCACTATGCTAGACATCTGAGTCTATGTGGGTCCAGAGCCTCAGAGATAAGTAAAATAATTGGAACAGGTTCAGAATAGAATACTGAAACAAACAGGATTAAAGAGTGAGAGAAACGGAATCTATATTGGGGGGAAGCAAAGTCAAAGGAATTCAGCCTCGAGAAGTGAGCTTTGGAAAGTGATATCAAGGGAACCTCAAATATAGTAAAGAGATAATTAAAAGAAGGCCTGAAATTCTTTTATTGGAGCAAAACAAAAAATTACTCAGATGTTAATGGGGCAATATGGACAAGGCGTGCTGAAGAACTTCCAGAGTATAGACACTAGGGTGGTGTGAGATGTGGGAGAGGTCATTGCCATGCCTTTCATGCCTGCAGTAAAAGAAAGCATTTGATGATGAGAAAGACTCTGGTAAGTTGTTTTTGCAAAATTACTTGTGAAACAATTGTAAGCTTTCAAGTCTTAGGATTTTTTTTTTTCCCCTAAGATGCTGAAACCTGTTTTAAAGGAGAAGGGGGATTTAGTCCAGGAATGAATGGGAGAGACTCAAGTCTGGGATTTGGAAAGCAAAATGGGACCAACCCACAGAAAGAGACAGCCTTTGATGTCCTGACGATCAAGGACCAGGGCTTAAGGACCAGACTCTTAAATCACGTGGCATTTACTATCCCAGATTTAAAAAAAAAAAAAAAAAAAAACACAAAACTTTTGTGGATCAGTGTCTGTGGTTCAAACTGGCTAGCTTCCAAAATCAGTCTTAACTTTCCAAGGGTAACATTTGGAAGTCTCCTTGCAGGAACAGAGTGGAGCCAGTTTCTAGAAAGGGCAGCTTAATAATTTTCTACTCCCTCCGCCCCCAAATCATTAAACGGTGTTCCTTTCCCAGGGCCCAAGTTCATGCTGAGGGCAAAGGGAATTAAACGAAGAAGCTGAACCTGCAGCTAAGATTAGAGGCCGCCAAGGACCTAATTTTAGGTCCTTGCTGCCCCAGCTGACATTCTGCGCTGCTGGTTCAGCCACGAGGACCAGAAGTGTGGCTGCGAGCCGGTGACCGAGAGTGGAGACCATCCCCCTGGCCATCTGCGGAAGCAATTAGCTTGCTGTTGGGTGTGTTTTGAGAGAGACGACCAATAATTTCTCCATCGACAAATGTTTCTTCAGGTGTTCGAAGAGAGTCAGTAAGGGAACATGTCAGCGCTTGGTGGAAGTTCCCACATGCTTGCTGTTCTAATACTCATGCTTCTCCACTTAAGAGCATGCTCCAAAAGGTAACCAATCTTGGAAACCCCGAAATTTGAATTTTCGTGGCGAGTAACCCCCAGCTTTCCTCTGGCCATGCGCTTAGGGCCACAATCTGGGGGAAAGTCTCAGCTTTGGCGAAACAGACACAGGTCGATGGGATCGGTTCTTGCACGTTGTGGGGAATCTTTCTGCCACTCTTCCACTGGGAAGGAGGCTGTCCCTCCAGTCCACACATATTTCGCAGCCACAGGTTTCATGCTTAGATTGTCTTCTTCAGAGAGTAGACAATAAGAGCTGGCATCTCCCAGATCAAAGGGGAAACAGAATATATTTTAAAGTGACAACTCTGTTCTCCTGCAACCTAATAAAACCAGAATAATGAAATGATATAGATAGAAGCCCCTAAATGCTTCCATACTGAAACGCCACCAGAGAGCAAAATTTCCTGCATAATTGCGGCAGGGAGACTCTCTTTACAAACCACGCACAAGAGCGGGTCTTATTTTTGTGTGATTCTTACGCCCAGGGCAGCCTACCACCGAGACGGGGATTCTGGGTCCCTGCAGGCTGGGAACCATGATAACTGTCTGGTGCTCTGTCTGCAAAGGAGGCTCTTCATAAAGGCTAATTGCCGCGGGCAATGACAGAGCAGGCTGGCACCACTGGGCCAAGGCAGTGCGACCCTCAGTAGATGGTCCTCGGTGAGAGCCCAGAGCCCACCGTTGTCAAGATGCAAGGTGCCATCCAGCCCCCGCAGTGCTCCCCTGTCTCTCTCTCCGATTTTCCTGATAGCTTTGCTTTCCCTGTCTGCTTGTCCCACGTCCTGTCTGTCGGTCTGTCTCTAAGCCTGTTTTGGGCCCCCCTCCCGCAGGCACACACATACACAGGCGCACACACCCGCACACACCCAGTCCCGCCACCCCCTTCCCGGTCTCTTGGCGCCGGCCCTTTCATCTTCTCCCTCGGGGACTGGAGATGTCGCTGCAGGAAGTGCTTGTCGGCGGAGGCAGCAGCGGCAGAGCCCCGTGGCTTTGACAAACCTCATTTAATTGGGAGGAAGCCAGGAGAATTTGAAAGAACTGAAACATCCACGAAACTCCTTTTATCAGGCATAATTTAAACTCTGCATGGAAAAACCCCTATATGTATAAAGAAAAGTCAACTTCCCTCCTGCTGTGAGCGCTCCTCAGCTCCCCCCCAGTGCAGGCAGGCTCCTGCAAGATTCCATCTTTTCATTTTTCTAAAAGTGTCAAAGTAGATTTGGGCTCTGTGGCTGGGTGAACAGAGAAGAAATACAGATGGGTCTCTCTCTTAGCCCCGCACGTGCGTTCTCTCTCTCTCTCTCTCTCTCTCTCTCTCACACACACACACACACACACACACACACTCAGGCACTGCAGAGCCCCTCTGTTGGTGGCTCTGCTTCAGATGGCCAGGAAGAATCAAAACCCAAGTTTCTAACAACACATCAGTTTGGACAGTGGCTGTTTCTGGCTAATCTCTTTCTATCAGGTAAAAGCTTGAGCCTCGGACGTTTTGAAGGGCCCTGGGAGTTCTCAGTACATAGAAAAAGAGATGCCAGAGGAGGGCCCATGACGGAAGTTTCATTAAGTGGAGAGAAGGGAGCGTGAGTAAGAGTGCGAGAGCATGAGTGTGTGCGCACATGCACGCTCCTGAATGTGTTTTTGCCTGAAGGGCTAGTTCGAAGTCTCAGGCCCAAGAGAAGAAAGCTGAAGGGGGATCTGGGGGCTTAGAGTGGGAACAGGGGAGAGGATGGGGGGTACAGAGGGAGTTGGGTATTGGAAAGGGAGTAAGTAGTGGAGGTGGCCTGGAGTGTTTTCTGTTCCACCATATGCCACACAGTGCTCCTCCCCTCCTTCCAAATTCCACTCCAGATTCACCTCCAGTCCAAACTCTCATTTGCGTGATTCTAGTTCCTCCAAGGAACTGCCTTTAGCACACACATATTCTCTTAGCATCTGTAGCTGATTATGCACAGACTTCAGCTGTTTAGATATGATTTGTGCTAATATGTATACAAGGGTGCCCTGTTTCCTCTTCCTCACCCCCTTTTCCTCCCACGCCATAGGATCCTTGAGGTCAAGGACAAGCCGTTTTTTCCCTCAATCTTTATAGCACTTAATATGTTCTTGACACTTAATGGCAACTTCATAAATCCTGATGACTCACTCTTCCTACAGGGTTAAGTAAGACATTAACCCCCGTTGTATGATTATGGTTATTTTTGGAGATCTGAAATAACTCATTTTAATAATAAAATGCCTTAAGAAGTCCCAAATTCAGAGCTTTGGGCTGGGGCAGGACAATGTCCTAGATACAGTGGAGCCACATTCACAGACCCTGGAGGCTTTGGCTAGACTGAATGTCTACGCCTCTGGGGCAGCAGCTCTGTCCTCTGTCCTCATTGTCACCCCACACACCACGCCAGGTCCCTCTTCCCAGGCCGAGCCCCTACACCTTCCTTATTAGCTTTTTTCCCTTTCTGCCTAGGGCTTCTAAAGATTGTTTTCAGTTGCATGATGATTGTTTCCAAAGAAACCCCACCTAAAGATGGTGTCCCCCAAAACAGCCAGACCATGACCACACTGCCCACATCCTTTGCCTTGCCCTTCCTGGCCACATTCCGAGAAACATGAGGAGAGCTCCAGCCACATGATCCCTCAGCAGATTTCAGATTTAGAGGATGACTTCAGGCCCGGGCAGCAAGGCAGATTTCAGGGTAACTTGTGTTTCCCCCGTGAGCCGTCTGGCCTGGGAGGATGTGCCCCTCCTCCCAGCACCCTTCCCCACCAGCGCCCCACCGGGCACTTCCTTCAGCAGCATCAAATTACCAATCAAGACAGGCCAGCTCTCCTCTTGTGACATCTCCATGTCACCTATCATCTTACTCTCTACGGAGAGAAGGGGGTAGTGGCAAACTTTGGTTTTGCTTCTCCAGGCAGATGCTAGGGAAAAGAAACAAGTCAGTGGCAACTTTCATCTCATCCAATTTCTAAGAGCGTCTATGTGAAATGTTCGGATCGTCACAAGGAGGTCTGTGTCACCTCAACCCACCAGGGCTTTTGAGTTTTAGAGACTCTCGTAGAAAACCCAGGCAAGATTGGGTCTCCTGTTGCTTCTCTCCCTGGTAACTCGATCCCTAAGCTCATTTCCGGTTGCAAATACTGTGATTCCCCAGTACTTGGAGAAAAAATTTAGACACTGAGACTTACATGCGTGCGTGTACACACACACACACACACACACACACACACACACACACACACAAAGAGGCACATGGCGGCTCCGTCACTCACCATCGGGAAGCCGGTGCAGCTGAGATGGCAGGGAACTGAAATACTCATGAACCAGGGCCTCCTGGGCCGAGACGCGGTCTCTAGGAAAGCCTCTCAGCATTTGGGAGGCCAGGTCCTCAGCTTCTGGAACCCTGCCCAACCTGGAAAAGTGGAAGAGAAAAAGAGTTTCTCCAAAGGCCTCCCTTATGAAAAACAAAGGGAGAAAGAAGACAAGGAGAGAAAAGGAGATGGCTAAGAGAACATTTCAAGTAGCGCTTTCCTGAGATCAGCCAAGTTGATGGCACATGGAAAAATACCGACCCACTGGAAAGTTTACCCATCCTCGGTGTGCTCTCTCTCATTCAGCCTCCACCGCTGCTCCCCTGCCCCTGCCATGGGGTCCAGGTACCATGTATATATACATAAAGGACCCAGAAATAGAATTATAGAAGCAGAAATGTGTAATTAAGGATGCTGCTTTGTGGGATGGTGCCCCCCAAGCAGAAAAGCCCAGTTGGGTATATTGTAAGGACTGCAAGCATAGCTTCCCGGAAGGGAGAGAAGATTAGAGGTAATTTTGGAGGGTGAATCTTGGGTGTAAACCACACTTACTCCCAGTGTTTCTGAAGCTCAGCCCCCAGGGTATTATCGAAGACGCTCTCTTGGTTCCTCCTAAGATGGAGCATAGGAAGAGATAACTCTTTTTATGCCCGGAGAGAGAACTCTTCAAGTGCCCAGATTACAGTAAGGACGAATCCTCAAGTGGACCTGTGTTGCATTGTAAATTTGGAGACGAGCAAATCTATTAGTTGAGCATCTACTATGTGCTAGTAGGTGGCTGGCTCTGGAAGATACAGGAAAGATTCTGTCTTCTGGCAGCTTAGTCTAAGGGAGGAGTTAGACACTAAGCAAGTTATCATAGAGATACATAAACACCTGTGCAGAAAAGGCCCAGATATCTGACTTAGACTGGGAAGAGCTGGTCAGGGAAGGCTTCCCTGAGGAAGAAGCATTTGAGCTGAGAGCTGAGGAATTAGGGCAGGGGAGAGGCATGTATGAGCCTGGTAGAGACCCAGGGGATGAGGGGAGAAGAGTAAGTTTAAGAAGACGAAGAAAGGCCAGTTGGCTGGCCTGGGACCAAGGGAGAGAGGGGACAGGTATGAAGCTGGGAGGGTGGCAGGGGCTGATCCTGCAGGACTTGTGAGACTTAATTTTCCTATTTACTTATAATGTTTGAAAGTCTTTGCTGATCCACGAGACCAAAACTGTGCAGGAGGCAATTAACCGCAGGACTGATGTCTGACATTCAGAATTAGGTTGCCTGGCCAGGCAAATCTCCAATTAAGCAAAAAAAAATGGGCTTATTTAATGTCGAATGCGCATACCAACTTAAATGGACAAAGAACTGATACCCTTTCCCTTCCCGGGTGCCATGACATGGTGATGCTGCAAATCCTGGCCCAGAGATGTAAGTGGCCTAATATCTGCATAAGATTTACCTAAGAGAATTTCGGATATTTGATTCCCACGACATACAACTCTTTGTACAAACAGATAACTTTACCTTCAAACTCAGCAGTCATTGCTTCATAGACTTAAGATGGAGGAAAATTTGCAAATGCCCAGTCCTTGCTAATTTCCAGGCTAGTTAAAAGAGAAGGGAACATGGGGTGGAGGCCTGCTCATTAGCTTGCGGCCTGAGAAAAGGCCAGAGGCATTTGGTCCCTCCAGGGTGCCCTCCCCAGAAGCAGGTTTTCAGGGCCAATGAAGGGGGCTTTGGAATGGGGAAGGTGGTATAGATCACTAGGGTCTAGTACCAATCTGGAGGGACATTCAAGGAAAATCTTGCAAAAAAATATTTTATCTAGTGCACCGTCGCTATAGGGGGTGAGGTGAAATGTGTGCCAAAATCATGCCCTGAACCCGCTCCATGAAACTCCAGGGGGTGGATGGGTGGGTAGGTATTGATGGTGGGGGGTAGTAGTGGGGACTCATATATAAAGAACTGGCCATCACCACCAAACGAAAGAAAGGCGAGCAGATACTGTTCAGTATTCTTTTTTAGGACTTTCCTTTTCAACTAACCCAACCCTTCCCTCAAGAGTGTGTCAAGGTTTTTAGTGGTGCCCGCATTCTGTTCCAGGCTCATGGCCCCTATGCTATGATGGCTACCACCCATTTCTCCAGCTCCTTCCTCCCGTGGGCCAAGTGCATGTTGGTCTTCCCTGTATAAACCAAGTCTGTGCCCTCCTGAATATGAACCTTTACCAGCAGCACTTACAGTGGGACCACCCATTCTGGCCAAGAGTCCTGATGATTTCTACCTTGTGACTGGCACATTGCACTCTCATTTGGGAGCTGAGACAAGAGCCCTGGGAATACAAATGTTGCTTCTTTGAGCACAGATGCTAATTGACTTCCATGTTTGTATAGTTCTGCTTCTTTCTGCCATCTACACTCTTGCTTACAGCCCACTGCCTTTATCATCACATTTCTATAATTTGCCACCTCCTCTAACTCTTGTTAGGGCAGTTCTTCTCGTTATAATTACTTTGGAAATGAAAATTGGCATGAAAGGTGACATTAACAAATGTTAATTTGCCCACCAGTGCCTTTTCACATAGGCTACATGTTAATCAATATTATGTGTTAGAGGGAAAGAAACCATAAGAGATTCTTAATGGTAGAGGACAAACTGAGGGTTGATGGAGGGAGGTGGGTGGGGGATGGGACAGATGAGTGATGGGTATTAAGGAGGGCACTGGTTATGATGAGCACTGGGTGTTGTATGTAAGTGATGAAACACTGAATTCTACTCCTGAAACCAATATTACGCTATATGCTGACTAACTAGAATTTAAATAAAATTTTGAAAAAAAAAAGATGAAAAAATATGTGTTAGGCTTGTGATGTTAAATACCAAACACACCAGGAGCATCTTGGCAGGATTAGGAGAACCCACCTACCCAATTAATGAGCGTCTGTTATTAAAGACAAAAATATCCTCTGAGGAACCCCTCCTTCTAATAACATTTCTAGAACCAAGAAGCGCTCCATTCCCAACATAATACATATTTATTGTAGAATACTTAGAAAATGCAGAGAAAGAGAATTAAAACCATCCCATCACTCTGAGATAACCCCTTTTACTCAAAGATGGTCACTATTGTTTTGATGTTCAGTTTTTCTTCTTTAGTCCTTTATTTTTAAGTGGGTATATTTTTTTGTTTTACAAAGAAAGGGAGATCATACTCTACCTGCTGTTATAACCTACTTTTCCCACTTGACGATCTCCACCATCTTCCCAGGCCTTTGAATAGCCTTCTAGGATATTATATTAATAGCTGCCTGGCATTCTGTTATGTGGGCATTCCATAATTTTCATAGCCAGACCTTTTTTTTCTTTTAAAGATTTTTTACTTGTTTGACACACAGAGAGGGAGAGAGATCACAAGCAGGCAAAGCAGGCAGAGAGAGAGAGAGGAGGAGGCAGGCTCCCCGCTGAGCAGAGAGCCCGACCAGAGAGCCCGAAGCGGGGCTCGATTCCAGAACCCTGAGACCATGACCTGAGCTGAAGGCAGAGGCTCCAACCCAGTGAGCCGCCCAGGCGCCCCCGTAGCCAGACCTTTATCTGAGTTGTGTCCTTTTTGTTGGGGGTGAGAGGTGAGAGGCTACCATTAAAATCATGCTGTGACATCCTCGATGGGAAATCTTTGTGCGCCTGCGCAATGATTTCCTAGGTATGAGTCCTGAGAAACGAAATCCCCGGGTTGAGGACCGTACAACACGTTGAAGTTTCTGATTAAGAATACGAGCCGGTTGTACCAATTCCCACTTCCACCAGCAGTCTGGGAGAGTTCCTGTCTCTGTGTCGCAGAAAACAAATTGGCTCCAGCAGACCTCAATTGTCACAGACCTCGCTTGTAAAAGTTGCAGAAAGGATTAAAATGGTAAATCAATCGGGCAGGAAGTGCTGGGTGTGAGGACACCCGCACTTATTTCTGGAAGTCCAGAATAGAAACACAAACAATAAAACAAAAGGAAGATCAGGCTCTGTGGTTGTGGGACGCTCTACACACTGGCCATCACAGGGCACATTGAAAATCTGGTGGTTCTCCAGGGCCCGAGGCAATGACCTTGATTTCCCAGCCCAGGCTGGCTCTGAGTATAAAATTCTCCACGGCCGTTACCGCCATTCACCTTTCCAGGGCAAGGGTGGTCATTGTCAGCTCACCTGGGTTCTTTGTTGTTTTCCCCTGGATCTATAGAGAGAGGAAAAGAGCAGGGATAGAGTGGGCACTTTTTTTTTTTTTTCCATTTTTCAATTGGTTTTTATTTGGAAGTAATTTCAGGTTTGCAGAAGAATTGCACGAGTCGTCCCCAGAGTTACGTGTTTACCAGCTTTCCCTAGCGTTAGCATTCTACAGAACTGTAGTCAAATGATCAAAGGCAAGCAATTAATATTGGCACAATGCTCTTAACTGAGCTGCAGGCATTATTCAAATATCGTGTTGTTGTTGAGTTGTTTTTTTTTTTTTTTTTTTTTTTTTTTTTCCCAATAATGACCTTTCTGTTGTTGTTCCAGGAGAGGGGGCCCTTTTTTAATGCTGCCAGTTCAGGACATGAAGTAGGCACCCACAATGAGAACTATATCCAACCCTGGGAAGAAACAACATCAAAGAAGCTGTTATCTTCCAATCAATCTGACAAGCGGGTGTGCGCTTCCTAGGCCCTTGTCTGTAGGGTCACCATCCAACCCCAGGCAGCGCCCTGGGCTGGAGTCATGGCCCGCACACGCTTCTTCTGCACCTTGCAGAAATCCTGTAGGAAAGCCGGGGCTACCTCCGCTCCTCTTTACCCATCACACTTGCCACCCGACTCGGTGGACAAAGTCACAGAGACCTGTGTACCAGATGGGTCTGGGCTCTGCCTTCCTGAGTCTGGTGACCATGGCCAGGTTGTGCCACTTCTTAGAACTTCGGTTTCCACCTCTTGGAACCGGGACTTTGATTTGCGAGGAATATATGAAATAATACATCATGAACATTCCACCTAGCCTTGGTTGAGCCCCCAAGTCCTTCTCAGAGCCAAGAATTTTCTTGCGGGATCATCTAGACCAGTGCTGCCCAACAGAACCTTCCATGACGATGCAAATGCGCTGGTTCTGCCCCATCTGATACGTTAACCACTACTCACATTGGCTGTTGGACCCTTGAAATGTGACTAGTGCAGCTGAGCAACTAAGTTTAAAATTTAATTTTAATTACTTTAAATTTAAAGAGCTACATGTGGCTAGTGGCCACTGTATCAGGTGGCACGTCCCTAGACATTCTCCTTGGTTTGAAGATGTGAGCAAAGAGAAACCAGAAGCTTGAGATAAAGCAAAGGTTGAGCCGGGATGAGGCAATGGGCAGAGGTGGTGGGTCTTGTGTGTGGTCAGAGAAGGCAGAGGGATGGATACTCAGGGAATCCAAGTCCTGCTCAGCCCAGGAGGAAGGGCTGGTGTAGCCATGGCAAGAGGCTCTGGCATTTTCTTCGGCCCATGCAGCAGTGTCCACAGCAGCCATGCAGGGTAGTAATGTGGTTAGCAGGTTTGGAGTCACCGTTTATTTTGGAAACCAATAGTGAAATGGAAGAAAGTCCTAGAGCGGTGCTAAAATCCAAACGTCTTTAGCGGGGGGGATGGGGATCCTGACTGTGCCGACAAGAGAAAGTTCGCTCATCTTGCGTGAAAGGGTAAATAGTGGTTCTGGTTCCAGGGAACCTGTCTCTGAAACCAGGAGGGGTTTCAGGCGACACGGTGAGCTCGCAGACATGAGCAGAGCCCTGTGGAGGAGACCTGTCCCTCCCAAGAGGTCCTCGGTAGCCTGCAGCTCTATGTTCTGACCTCTCTACATGGAGGCTTTTTTTTTTTTTTTTTTTTTTTTAGCACAGGAACAGTAAGCATGAAAAAAATCAAATAAAATTCAGTTGGGTTAAACCCTACCACATTTTCAGGGAAGAACGATGTTCAAACATTCAGTTAGGATCTCTTCCCCTCTCCCCACCTGCGTGAGTGTGTTTTTCTTTGACATTTGAGCTGTTTCCCCTGTCTCTGACGTTTTCCTCACTGCCCTTTTTGCCTCCTCACTGAAGCAAAAAGAACAGAGCCTCGGCTAATTACTCTCAGATCAAATAATACTGGTTATTGTAATTGGTCATTGTCCGAAAACACTGAGTTCTTCTTAGCCCTGAGGTTGCCTGGCACGGCTTAGTTAGCTAACTATTCCGGGAATGTCTCTATTATCTGTTTTACTTTGTAAAAGAAACTAGGGATTTGTTGAAAGCTGGTAATAAAAGTCTGCCCTGGTCTGAGCCGAGACTGCGTGGAGAGGGCCTGGGAAAGCATGACCTCCATGAATCAACTTGGCCCCCCCTCCAATAGCCACTCAATGATGTTATTTGGTTTCTCTGTGTCGGAGAATAATAAACCCACTAGGTTTTCTTGCAGGCCAACATTCCCTCATTCTCAGGGCCTCGGACATGGTCGAGGGGCACAAAACAATTTTAATGACCAAACTCACTGAAAGTAAAATGGTTCATAGAGAAAAACGGACACACTCACAGGTGGCTGGCTCTCCCGGAGGCATCTTCCGGGCCCTGTCGGCCTCCAGAGATCAGGTGCTCACGGGCTGCGTGTTTGGTGGACTGAGGGTCAGGAGACTGAGGCCCTGCTTGAAAGAGAGACTTTCCCAGGTGGTGCTTACCTGTCCCAGACAATCTGAAGGCGTCGAGGCTTCGGCAGTGGGAACCATTCTGGAAAGCATACACAGACACGTTAGAAACCAGAAACGACCCTAAAATCCTACTGCCAAAATATTATCAAAATTCTGCTCGTTCTTCTCAGCTTGAGCAAAGAAGAGTTCAGGCTTCAGGTGGGCAGAGTGAACACACTGAATTTTCATGATTCTGTGGAAGGTCACTATTATGGGTTGAATTGTGTCCCCCTAAAACTGATACATCAAGGTACCTCAGGATCTGACCTTATACGGAAATAGGTCATTGCAGTTGTAATTAGTTAAGATGAGGTCATAGGTGTGGGCCCTAAACCACTGTGACTGGTGTCTTCTTAAAAAAAGGGAAGATCTGAACACAGAGACACACACGTATGAGAGAAATGACACAAAAGGACCCGAGGAGAAGACAGTCATCCACAAGCCAAGGAGAGAGGCCTGGAACAGATGCTTCTCTCAGGGCCCTCTCAGAAGGTAACAATCCTGCCAATTCCTCAACTTCAGAGGTATCTAGCCTCCAGCACCGTGAGACAACAAATTTCTGTGGCTTAAGCCACTCAGACTGTGTGGTCCTTTGTCATGGCAGCCCTAGCAAACTCACACAGTCACGAGATTCACTCAAGTCAAAACACATCTATTGAACACCTACTGTGCGCCAAATGTGTACCAAGCGCCGGGGAGACTATGAAAGAAACCAACAGAGACCCCCCCCCACTTGCAGAGCCACAATTCATTGGAGAACAAAGTACGCATGTGCGTACACAACATGCGTGAAGAGTCAGGTGATGAGCGGTGGGGCTGTCTCAAAGGCTCAACATGGTGAAAAAGGAATGGGGCTAATTTTATATGTCACTTGCAGTAAAAATGGAAGTGAATTCTGGCTTGAATAATCCAAAATAGATGATGATAAGATTTGTCATTTCCTTTGCAACACTCTTTACAACGTTTACATGTGAATGTGTTTGTCTCTATTATTCTTAGTATTGACACTATTTAACCCAAAATAAAACTACCATAAAAAGGGATAATTTCTCATTCATTCAAGAAGTACTGAGTGCTTATTCTATGTAAGGGTGTTAAGGGGAGCTCTAGGGTTATAAGATGATGTTCCTTATCAGAGTCCTCTATTTCCTGCTCTAAATCAAGAAGAGATTATTTTAACTTGCATTTAAAATACATGCATGAAAATAAAATAAAATAAAATAAAATTATACGTATATAAAATTATATGTATGCTTTACACTTTTCTTGGGCCTGAAATGTATGTGTTTTGTCTTTAAAAGATCTCTTCTTCCAGGATCTCTTATTCCTATAGGAATAGGATAGATAATTTATTTATCTGGTTTATCCAACCAAGAATGTAATCGTAGTTGGGCAAAAAAAGATTTTGATAATACTGGTGTATTCCTGTCTGTATATACATTAAAAAAAAAAAAGAGCTGGAAGACTATCCGTCTGATAGTGATAATGGTTCTGGGGTTTACCCCTTTACTTCTAGGCTTATTTTCTTAAATTTATTTTTTTAATAAGAAAACACATTATTTTGTAACTTTGAAAGTAAGTTCAATTAAAACTAGAATTTATAGTGCCAAGACTTGTAGCGTGAAATGAGTGATCAAAGAAAGTGATTTCAGCGGAGTTTTCAAGGTCAGGTGTAATCAAATGAGAACCTCTCTGCTGGCGGTTTCCTAGTCCCACGTGGGTGGAAGGGAAGAGCTTGCATATACAGCTTCTTCATCCTCCCTCTAGACGATTGTACCTAAATTTAAATAACCAGTAAAGATAGGTAAGAATATCTGGTATCTGTTTAGGATGTTTATTTCCAAACGACTTTCTGCTGCCTGTTTACGGTTCCTTCCTGGCCAAACAAAATTAAAATATTTTCTCATTCAGTCATAAACCAATTTCCAGTCAACATAATGAAATCCATTTCCGTGCTCTCCCATGTTTTGTTTTTCCCTTCCTAGAGCCTGTTGGTCTGTGTTTTGGGGGGCCTTTGGTATTTTAAAACTCTTTCCAACTTTCGCGTTATTCTTGGAGAACGTGGATTTGGAACTGGCTGAGTCCGGGCTCAAACACAGCACCTCGGGTTTGCAACTGCAGCAGCTGCTTCTCCGCACCCTCCAGCAAGGTGGTTTAACCATCACCAGCCCTCTCCCTTAACCCACGCTGGAGGTCATATTCGCCTCTCAAGGACAAAGTGATTCGTTGAATTCATTGGGATTTGTCAGATGATGAATGTTAAGGGCCTGCCTCTGAGCACAAAACAAAATCATTCCTATCCTTCTGTTCCTTCCTTTGAGAAATGGTGGGCAATGAAAAGCGCATGGTTAGGACTCTGGAGCTGGGCTTTGAGAACGTAGTGTGGTGCTCACCGGCTGTGTAACCTTGGGGGTGTTGTCTGACCTCCCAGAAGCCTCGGTGCCTCACATCCCGTCTACAGAGAGGGATGATTATAGTTCCTGCTCCTTCGAGTTCGTGTTAGAATCAGGATGGTAAGGGTAACGTTAGTATTCCCTCACCCTTTGTCTCTTTTCTTTCTGCCTCTTCTCTGGTCTGATGAACCACGTTTTCCTCTCTCCTCTCAGGTGTTTCTGCCTGATGCTTCTCCTTCAATAACTCGCCGTTTCATGGCCCTGAAATTCTAACGTGCTCCAAGTCCTAGTTCTTACACGCCCCACCTGATTTCTCCTGAGTCTTCAGTGTGGGTCGAGGTGTGCTTCTTCGCTGTGTGTCTCCCTTCTGCCACTTGTGAGCTCTGAGATTTGGGGGAAGTTAACGTCTCTGGTTTAGTAACGCAGAAGTTTCCAAATCTGTAAAATGGGAATAACTTTCCAGTTGCTTGGGAGGATGAGATAAGATGAGGCACTTGGCAATAGAGGAGGGGCTCAACAAATGTACGTCTTAGTCCTTTTCCTTTTTTTCATCTCTCATCCTAGAGAGGTAGCAGGGTCTAACTCAGTGTTTCTCAAGCCACGCTGCATGTTAGCATCACCTGGGAGAAGTTCTGGCCTGAAAGGAACCCCAGGCTTCACCCGACAGAGTTTGATCCAGTGCGCCTGTGGACAGCCCAGCATTGCTGTCATTGTGGTTGTTATTATTGTTCTTCATAATCTCCAGATGTTTCTGGTGTGGCGCCCAATGAGGCTGAAGGTGCTGGTGTGCAAGAAGGGTGGGGTCGACACCTCATCAGTGATTCCCCCACCCTTCTCTGAGGCTCGTTGCCTTAAGTGAGCTAGTTGTGAAAATATAACTACTCAATATATATCAAAATTGCAGAACGTAGCGTCTGATGCAGACTTATGTTTCCAAGGAGGTGAACGAGGAAGCATGACAAGGGAAAGATCAGTCCTCAGAAATTCTGCAATGAAAGGGTGACCTGGACGAGTCGTCCCAGGAGGCAGTGTAATGACATTGAACTTGAGGTTCCAGGTCTTGCCAGACTGTGCCTGACTCTCTTCCCCCAGGTGTTTTGTAGCTACATTAGAGCAGATGGAGGGGTTGACGGGCCCAGGGCATAGTCAGGTTGCTGTTCATGATTGTGGTCTACCCTCCCACTCACATGCAGATAACCTCATGCTGGATGACCTTGCCTCTCTCCCATTGATTTTTCCCAGTAGTTAAACTGCAAGAGATCAATGAGCGAATGAGCGACAGATAGGCATTTTGCACAGCACCATTTCAAGAGGTGTTTGTTTCTCTGGCTTCAGGAGCCGCTGAAAGAACAGAGCTCTGGGTAGCTTATTTCCCTCCTCTTTCCAGAAATGATGGTGAATCCATAGACCAAATTTTTCTCCATCTCCTCCTACTGCCTTTCTTTCTTTCTTTTTTTTTTTTAATTTTATTTATTTATTTGACAGAGAGAGAGAGAGATCACAAGTAGGCAGAGAGGCAGGCAGAGAGAGGAGGAAGCAGGCTCACTGCTGAGCAGAGAGCCCGATGCGGGGCTCGATCCCAGGACCCCGAGATCATGACCTGAGCCGAAGACAGAGGCTTAACCCACTGAGCCACCCAGGTGCCCCCTACTGCCTTTCTTTTTAAAGGAGTTCTCATTTGAATTCAATTGGAATTTGAAGTAGGAATGGCGAAGTAAGTTGCAAAAGGAAACTTAAAAAGCCGAACATAGTAATTTCCGAACCAAATGGAATAAAATTAAAATGAGGGCAGAATGTTGCTCCCATACTAAAACACCACCTTTTTCCCTAAGTCCTAATTCATAAGTGAAATAAGAAAGCTCATTTACAACAGATCCAAGTCAACAGAGATTTGCTGGTTGACTGATAAACCATCACCAGAACCCTGTTGAGTCTTAGCTCAAGGTAAAACATTTTCTGGTTTCTATAAGCTTACCACAGTCCCCTAAGGTTATCTTATAATGCAGCCTACTGAACGACACCTATGGAATTTCCCAAATACAATGCATTCTTGAGATACCATACATTTAAATAGTTGATAGTGTTGTTAGCCTTATTTCACTATCTCAAGCAGTAACTTTAAAACCTCATTGCAAAAATCTGTAGCTCTTCTCCTAACTACCCCTCCCCCCCACCTTAACCACATTCACGCCCTCACAGCCACTGACTCCCTTAGTCTTTGACTCAAGGAGCCTAAGCATGACCCTTCCGGTGCTTTCCTAGGCTGTAGAGTTTTTGGCCGTCATCATCAGGATGTGGAAAGCTGGTGCTCTGAGGAAGTACGCTCCTCGGCATTTGAACCTGGCGCCCCAACTCCCATTTGTAGCTTATCGCTTTTCTAACCCTGCCTCAAAACTTCCTGTGGATTCTAAGAAAAGATTCCAGCCTCTGCAGCCTCTTGCTAAGGTAATAGTCTTTGCAAAGGAAGGGGAGGCCAAGCCTTGCTCCTGGTGGGTGGAGAAAGCAAAGGGAACGAGCATAATCAGAAGTCTCTCGCTCCTCTCCCCAGGGTGGGAGGTGGGGGGAGTACCATGTTTAACATCCAGTCCACCCCTACAAATGATGTTTGAACTACAGCTTTTTTTTTTTTTTTTTTTTTGAAGAGTTT